CACTCCAAATTTTAAATACAAGTAATTGGCAGCAACCTTTTAATTCCTCATTTTCCCACAGTGTGACTTGTAGACGCATCCACCTCAATGGAATAAAGGTATCTTTGTCTAAAGTACGCGAAATTCACAATATTTGTCTTTCCTTAATAGTTTGGTTCAATCATATTTTTATCGTCTTTTAATTGAGTTAAAATATCTTTATTTCACGCGAAACTTAACCGAGCATAGCCAAAAGACTAATAAGAACATATTTGAACCTACACACATATTATTAGTCCAATTTAATTCCTAAATGCAACTACGCAACAGCTTGTGAAGTTGTATTTATGAAGCAACTTGATTATATTATAGTGAATTTTCTTACCAATGTAAGGCATAAATCACATAGATCACATTCTGAGTAATTTTTAAATAACTTTACATGTCATTTTGTACCATTAAATTAGAAATTCTACCTAAAGATGTAACAAACATAATGTCAATAAGCAAGAAAATACATTACATTGCTTCAAACCACAAAATATCTTTATATTCAATTAAACCACCAAATTCCATTAGATTCCATCAACTCCCCTAACACGCTCTTAATGTATTATTTAAAACTTGGGCTTCTATTCATCTATCTATTATATATAGGTTAAGCAACACTTCACTTTCTTAATTGTCTCAAATTTTTTTTCTGTGCAAAATAAAATAATCAGACATTGGCTACAAGAAGGAGAAGATCAAACATAGAGACAGACACTTATGTACTAATGGAACCTGGAAAGTCAGAGGAATTTGTTACTGAGGAAGAATTAAGAGACAAGTTAAAGAGTTGGTTAGAAAATTGGCCAGGCAAAACACTGCCACCAGATCTTGCAAGATTTGAAGATACTGATGATGCAGTTGAATACTTAGTAAAATCTGTTTGTGAACTTGAAATTGATGGAGATGTTGGTTCCCTTCAATGGTACCAAGTTCGTTTGCAACAAGACATGACATGACTAGGGACTATTTCTCGATTTGTGTGTGTAATCCTTTTGTGCGAGGGTCATACTAATCTTCTTTGTAACGTTTCAATTTTATCAGATGTTTCTGAAGGAACACATTACTAGTCAATAAACTCAAACATATAGATATTGTCAATGCAGAGATTAGTTATATTATGCAAGATTTAGTTATTCATATAGTATTATGTAGGATTGTAAACTGGTAACAAAAATATCGAATTTAATGTGCTGAATTTTACATAGCAACTAAAATGCTACCAAATATGATAGACTGATTTAGTACTTGTTCATTAGTCATTGGAATGGAAGCTTAATATAACTAATTGTTGCTATATATATGGGGGAGATATTAACTAATTCTCTTGTTAGTTCTATTACTTTCTGAGTTTACATTTATTTACTCAGTGTATTAAAAAAAATATTTTTTTACTTGTTTTTTTAGTAAATTAAAAACTAAAAGGGGATTATTTTAAAAAAAAATTATACCCTTAGCATTTGATAACCATTTCCCAAACTTACTGCTAGACTCGATTATTAATAGCTAAATTTGGATTTTCAAATCATAGTTAGTAAGAAAACTTAGTAAAATAAGTATTTAGTTATTATTCTTTTAAGGGTGCGGAAAATATAATTAAACAAGTAAAAGGTAACAGAGGGGAAAATAATATTTTGAAAGAGCTTTTTTGGTTTTATCGTCTCTGTTGAGATTTGCCCCACCGCATGAGATTTGTCTAAACTTAGCATCGAAGTTTACCTCGCTTTTCCAAGATCTGCAGAAATCCAGTTGAACTCTGACTAACTATCGACAAGGTTGACACAAAATTAGTTCTGATACTATTTTTTTCAGCTCAGCCCATCAATGATATTGTCGCTCTACGCCTAAATTCGCATAACTTTAAAATGTGTCATTATGGTGTAACTCTTATCATAAGCTAAAGTATCACATACACCCCATCTTATGGACTCGGTGTTCTCACTGAGGTTTGCCCCACCACGTGAAATTTGCTTAGACTCTATACTGAGATTTACCTAGTCTTTCTGATATTATTTTATCTTGTCAAATTTTATTTTATTTTTATGGTAATTTTGATTTGATGCATAACTATTTGGCATTCAGTAAAATAAATAAATCTAACAAATGCATATAGTTTAATTTAATTAACTTGACATTGAAAGGTAATCTTTGTATTTCAATTTATGTGGCATATTTTTAAAAAAAAATCTATTTCAAAAACTATATCACCTATTTAGAAATTTAAAAGTTTTTACCGTAGATGAAATCATTTATAATTACACATATATTTAAGTTTTGTTTTAAATCATAAATTTTAAAAATTGTATCTCATTTGTTGTAATTTACATGACAAGTTCTTTTTTACTCTATTAAAAAGAATAGAGATAAATGTCAAAAACACATTTAAACTATTCTCTTTTTTTTAGTTCATACCTAAACTATTGAGAGTGCGAGTTTCATACCTAAACTATCACTTATTAGACTGGGATATCACTTATTAGATTGAGAAACACACTTTTCTCTTTTATTACACTATTTCCATGATGTGTGTACTACACTCTCTCTTTATTTTAAAAAAAATTACATCACACTACACCTTGACAAAAGTTAAATAAATTATTAGTATTAACTAAAATTAACGATTAAAGGATTATTATTCAATAAAAATATATATTTATTTTTTTAAATAATAAAATGTAAAATATTTTTCTTACCCCACTCCACCACTTCCTCTCACCGTACCCCCCTCCTCACATTTCTTAGATTTTTTTTTTTTGTTTAAATTTCTTTATAAAAGTATTTAAATTTTTTTCATTCATCTCCCCCCTCCCCCCCCCCCCCCACCCAAATAATAATTTACATATTATTTTATTTTTAAAAAAAAAAAAGATTCTACCCCACTCCACCTAACCCTTGCTTCCAAATTTTTTTCCCGTTTTGTGTTATATATATACTTATCTTTTTAGGAAATTATTTTTTACTTACCACCGCAAGACTTTATTTAAAATAATTTTTTTATTTATGTTATATTCGATACACAAATAGAAAAAGAAAATCCTAAAAAGAATGTACATATCCAACATAAAAACAAGAAAAACGTAAAATAAAATAAAATTAGGAGTCGGGGGTTAAACAGGATGGGTAGAATTTTTAATTTTTTTAATAAAATAATATCAATTTATTTTGGGAAATGAGTGGGTGGTTTGGAAGGGGAGGGTGAAGTGTGATTTTTTTTTAAAAAAAAATTATAAAAGAAAAATTTAAAAATAAAAAGATGGAGGATTGTCCGGAGGTGGGGGTACGGGGAGGAGGTGGTGGAGTGGGATAAAAAAAATAATATTTTTTTGAGATAATAATACTTTAATTTTTAATTAATAGTAATAGTTTATTATTTAATTTTTGTCAAAGTGAAATATTTTACTCAATATTTTATCCATGTGAAATGTCATATGTCAAAGTTTTTCCCAAAATAAGAAGAAGAGAGAGTGTATTACACACACCATGTTTCTCAAACTAATAACTAATAGAGAAAATATATAAAAATCTCCCTGAACTTGATCGGATAACTTACTTTAGCACTTAAACTACACAGACGTTTAAATATTCCCTTTAACATTTTTAAAGTGAATTAAAAATCACCCTGAGATTATTATACCAATCTCACTTACCACATTATAGTCATGTAAGTGCCACAACGTAGCCATATCAGCACCAATGAATAGAACATAGCTAGATGTTTCTAGACAAAGAGTTGACACTCCCCTTTCATCCAACGGCTCAGATCATGCCAAGTTTTAATCGTAAGGCCACTATATTTTACTATATTTATATTTTATACTCACAAAATTCTAAAACCCTACTGCTGAGTACTGACTGAGCTCACCAGGTTTAAGGGGAAAAAAAAATCTTCAAACTCAAGCGAGGTACATTTTTTCAGAAATTCTTACTATATCCATTTCCGATTAGCTTAATCTTAAAAAGGGGTTTTATTTTATAATATAGATTGTTATTATTTCAACTTGGTTCATTGATTACATTTTATAAGGTTAGGGTTTTGATCATTTTCGTTCTGTTTCTTGAATACCATTATTACTACAGTAAGTTATAGTTATGGGTTTTACATATGATCGTGGGGTTTTACTGCTCCAGTTTTCTTATTTTTTGTATCCATTTGAGCTGATGGTCTTTCGGAAACGGTCTCTTTATTGAATCTTTTTGTTTTGGAGATCAGTAGTGAGCATATTGGATGCTGATTGCTAATAAAAATACGGTCTTTACTATTTTTTGTTGATGGGTTTTGATTAATAGCGCGATTAGTTTTTTTTTTTCCGATAGAGCGATTAGTTCTTGGTCTGTTTATTTTGGTAATTTCCGCCGGAGGGAACTGCAGGATGGGTAATGCCTGTGTCTTGTGCTCTATAGTTGTATGCTAAGTTGTGCGGACTCTTCAGTTTTGATGCCGCACCCGTGTCGGATCCTTAAAATATACACTTTTTTGGAGAATCTGACATGCACCGGTTGACATTTTTGAAGAGTTTGAGCAATAGAGGTTGCATGACAAATATGGAAGAGTAGATATGTGTTTGCTTTGTGCTATTTTGTATGGCTATGTTTGACTGAACATGTTTATTGGGCTGAGTTATTAGTAGATTCTTTTAAGTGGAAGGAACTATTAAAGAAATGGGAAGTTAGTTTGAATGTGTTTGATATGAAAATGAATTTGAATTCTTTGAAGTCATGAAATGGTGAAAGTTGTATTGAGTAATTTTCTTGATGGGATGGTTCACATATTTTGGAATGTCACTGTTGTATAAATAGGGACGAAATATGAGCTTGAAGAAAAGGAGCCATCTTTTTCTTTTGTTTTACGCTGTTTCACTACATCTAGTGCCTTTCAGCATTATGGTGGAACTATGCTATATTTGAAGATTTCTTCTGAATCTAACATCTTTAACATTTATTCTCATGTTGTTTTTTATATGGACTCCTGTCATTCTGTTCTTTTCATAGGTTTAAAGATGGCTTTGTTCAATAGAATTGGAAATATGCTTAAACATAGTGTAAGCCGACACACGAACTTGGAATTGTGTGCCTCTAGGACCTCACTTTACCAGGCTATAAGAAGTATGTCTTCTTCAAAGCTTTTTGTTGGAGGTAAATGATTTTGTTCCCAGCTGTACGGGGTTCCTGTGTTCTTTTTCCTTCTTTTTGTTTCTCTATAATGGCCAACTATCCGCTGCAGGTCTCTCATATGGCACTGATGAAACCTCTCTGCGAGAGGCATTCTCCCAACATGGTCAAGTGATTGAAGGTACTTGACTTAACATTTGAGCTCTGATAAAATAAAATTTTGCAGCTTACTCCATTTATGTGGTTCATGGAGCCTATAAAATTGATGTGCCCTAAACAAAAAAAGAAATTAACTAAACAATAATGTGTAATTCGTGCAGCTAGAGTTATTTTTGATCGTGACACTGGGAGATCCAGAGGGTTTGCTTTTGTCACTTATACATCTGCTGAAGAAGCATCAAGTGCCCTGAGTGCCTTGGATGGCCAGGTAATGATGCTCAGGTTTCTTTGTGGAGCACTGGTGTCAGTTCTTCTCGAAGAGTGACAACTGCAGCCTTCAAGTCTTTGTATCACTTTGTGTAGTAAGACAAGTTCTGTTATTTTCTGAAAGATGTATCCGTGTTATTCCACTCTGTCAATGGTGGTTTCCATCCAGTCCCATTTAATAGGTTCTATTACATGAAAATTTTGTGACTTCATGTTTTTGTGCCTTTCTTAAATACTAAGACCAAATTTCTTTTATCACTTGCCATTAAATGAGATGAAATATTTGAACAACTTTTTAGAACCAGTATCAGGTGATAATTTCATGTTATTGTCCCTTCCATTTCATTCACTATATTACACTGTCAATTACTGCAAGAAATTGATTAGCTATCCTTAGTGACAAGGTGGTGTTTCCATCTGGTGCTAACTGATAAGGTTCTATTGGGTCAATTCCATCAGGACTTCATCTTGTTTTCCCTTTCTTTTATATCATGGGCAAATTAGATTTTGTTACTTTCTTCCGTCATTTGAGAATGAAAACTTGAAAAGTTTTTTGGGACTAGTCCTGGCTAAAATTTGTTGCGTAATTTTGCAGGACCTCCAAGGGAGACGGATAAGGGTGAATTATGCCACAGAGAAGCGTCCTGGAGGATTTGGGCGTGGTTCTGGTGGTGGAGGTGGATTTAACTATGGTGGGGGAGCTGGAGGTGCTGGAGGCTACTCATCTGGAAATTATGGAGGTGGTGGTAACTACGGTAGCAACAACAGTTACCCTGCAGGTGGTAGCAACTATGGTGGGGATAGTTTTGGGGCTGGATCTACTGGTGGGAGTAGTGGAAATTACAACTCTGGTGTTTCCGGTGGTGGCAACTATGGTGGGGATAGTTTTGGGGCTGGATCTGCTGGTGGGAGTAGTGGAAATTACAACGCTGGTGTTTCCGGTAGTAATGATTTCTTCAACAACTCTGAATTCGGTGGGAGCCCTGGGACCTCGCACAATGGTAGTGAAGAACAGCTTAGTGCAGACCAATCTGTAAACAATGATTCCACACCCGGTGCAGAAGGAAGCCACACAGATGACAATGATGAGCCAAATGACTATGCCAACTCAAGGAGTTGATAATATGCTATTCAAGAACTACTTAGGCTTTGATGAGTACATGTTCACAACATGTGTTAAAAGGCAAAGAAAGTATATTCGGATTCAAGTAGGATTGCTACTGGTTGCATGCTTCATCTAGTTTAATAAATCTGTAGGATTATACTGTACTCATTTCATAATTTCTTCTTTCTTTTGAAAGTGTGTTTATGTCATGGATCCTCTCCAAGTACTGATTTTGTGCAATGTATAGTACTGAATCTTTTTCTACTCGTTCGTTCTTTTAAGGCATTAGTGATAACTTTCTTGACCTTGTGGCTAAAATGTAGATTATGGCATTTGCACATTTACTTAATAGGCAGTTAGAAACAAGAAAAATGTGCGTTAAACTGACTAGAACCCATAATTAGGAAGTAGAAGTGCTTCCTTACATTACATTCGACAAAATCAATAAACACTCAATGGCTTGCTAATTGCCTGAGTTTCAAATAACTGCATATTGATTCTGAAACAAAATAGTAGGTTAAACTGCTGGCATTTCTTTGTTTTATAAAGACTTCAGAGTGAAACTACAAGCCAGCAGCAAACAACTTCTGGTTTCAACTTTCTAGAGGAAAGAATAATGGAAATACAAGGTTGCGGAATCTGTACAAGTCATTTTACATAGGGCATCACCTACACTCGGGTATTATCAACTTGGCACAATACTACAGAACTCTCCTTTCCTCTTTTCCTCCATTTGGTGCTCCCCTCATCTTTTTGCTGGGGTGGGGAAGGGTGCATATTATATAGTTCACAGCCAATTCCAGGTCAATTGAAATCAACCATTCAACTTCTAATGCACATTCAGCTGTTGCCAAAATCTTCAGAGATGTGCAGTGATCATTATTAAACAGCCCAGAATGGCTTTGGAGTTGCTACCGCACTCGAGCTACTTTTCAAAGGTCCGTCAATTGCTTCATCATTATCATCGTCGTCGTCGTCGTCATCCCCATATTCCATTAGCTGGACTAATGTATCTGAGATGCACAAATCAAATCAAACAATTAAATACACACACTCTCATATTTCTCAACTGTAAAAATGGAATAGACAAGTTATGTCTGATAACAACTACTACAAGGCCTCAATCCTAAGCTACTTGGGGTCTCTTATATAGATCTTCAGTGAACTTCCACCCATTTAAGCTCATCTCATACTGATATAACACAAAAATAAGAAGTGGAAGATAAAAATGAAAAGTAAAAGAAGTTCTACTATGTTAATTGGACTAAATGGATTTTCACACTTCCACTTAGTAACAAGAAATGCAAGAAAAAAAGGGGTAATGAAGATAGGTAGGTCATCACTAATAGACAAACCAAGCAAGAGTTTATTGAAATCTTGGGACTGAAAAAGCTTGAGTGATGGCAAATACCTGGAACAATTTTACATGGTGCTTTATTAACCACATTGTTGTCCTGCACTTTCTGTGAGGATGATTGAAACTTTGGTGGCGGTGGCGGTGGAGGCATCATTCTAGGAGGTGGCGGCGGCAGCATTGAACTGGGTAAGGGCTGAACCAACTTTCTGGGAGCCGGAGTACCAATTTTGTCTCTATCACCTTTGTCTGACATTCGTTCCTGAAGCATTAGAAGCTCCGTACCCTGCAGTGGATTCTGGCAACCAAAAGGGGGAGGGAGAGTCCATCCAGAAAACTTAGAAATTCCAGGAAAAAAGGAGGTAAAATTTTTAAGTTTTTCAAGAGCATACTTTTAACATTCTTTTACTTGTATAGTAGCAGGCAAGGGAAGTTTAAAATAAATGCATGATCCTAAGAATTATTGGTTGACATGAATAAATTGGACTCATAGTGTAAGCTATGCAGCTTGACTTTTTTTCTATCACTTGCTACAAGGAGCTTAGATCATCATGTTTAGAAAATGCATATATTGCAGATACCAATAGAAAACATTTTCTCTTCTTGAGTAAAGTTGAAACAGTTTGAAAGCCTCGCAGGCAGAATGTATTGTGAGCTCGATCTCATTACCCTTTTAGTACTTGAAGCAAAGGTGATTAATAATGTGCATTTCATATTAGCATATTAACATTTGACAGAATGCCAAAACCAGAAGGGGCATGGTATCTTTGCATCGGCACCATCAAACTGAAATAGCACGTAGCAACCCCATGCCTCCTCCGTATCCAGAATCCTGTGAAACATACAAAGGTCCAACAGAGTTCCACAGCCTGTTAGCTTCATACAAGGTCAGAGAAATTACCTGGAATATCAAGTAGAAAAGGTTAGACCAGAAATAAAAATATGTTTTTAACTGAAAAATAACTTAAGGGAAGGAAATTTGAGAAATTTCAAACACTCCATTTACAACAGCAATGTGATAAAAATTTAAAATGAGAAACAACGAAGTCTTTTTTTAATAGAAACTAAGATGTAGGATGAATGGTAAACTAAGTTCAAAAGAGACCCAAAAATAGGAGAATCTGATAAATCCCAATTTTGCCAGTCATCATGCTACACAAGCTGTACTTCATCCTTCTATTAATACCATTTATATAGTGGAAGGTGAAGTGAAGAATCTATCATAATTCATATACACAGCATATTCCTGTGCAGAAGATCACTCAAGCAGTGAGAATCAATTAAAGGCAATTAAGGGACCCAACTTCAGATATAACGAGGCAGATGCACAGGCTATAGATATGCCACATAGCACCACAGTTTATGAAGGCTTTGTTTCAGAGCATAAATTTGGAGAAATCACAGGAACTTCGTATTTTGGTGGAGGCCCTCCAAATGAGGAATGGGAAACAATACAACTTCAGTGACCTCTAGTCACAACTACTAGGGGAAACTTGTCTCACATTAACCAACATTTTTCTTCGGTTATATTGTCACTCTAGCAGTCGATCTGATAGATACCACATAGTGGGTGGTCAATGAATGGCTAAACAGATGTACTTAGATATGCTTTTGATCCATTCAGATTAGTGATATATGTACCCCTCAATCTTCCACTAAATTGAGTTGGAACAGTAGCAATGGCAGTAATAATATATCATCTACAGTTCCCCCTTTTTTTCTTATTTCTTTTTTTTACATGATATCATCTACCATTTTAGTTCTCTAACAAGAGATGGGCTTATTTTGGAGGCTTGGAGCAAAACTTTTTGCACAGCCAGTGCCCTATTGGATACTTCAACAAGCAGATAGCGATAATAGAGGAACTTCTGGATACTCAAGTTTAGGTTCATATGCCAGAAATTATATCATGAAATGCTTTCAATATTCATTCCCCATCTCTAGTCAATCATGAAGCTTTATGTACTTCTCTCGAAGATGACCATTATAATTTTCTCATCAAAAGCCAGTTAAGGGCAATTGCCTGGAGATACCTTCGTATAGGTCAAGGAGACTAAGCACATACCTGGTTTACAGTTGCTTGGCCTCTTCCACCAGCCGGCAATTCTTGAAATTTACGCTTCTGTGCAGGGCGCTTGTCCTTCTCAGAACCTGTACTTTTCTGTGAAGTGATGCTTGGTCCCGTTGTTGCTGGAGGAACTGTGGTAGTGACTGGAGAAGTAGATTGCCTAAGAGCCAAAGCAACTTGCTGCAAAGCAGTGGCTTGGGGATATATACCATCATAACCAATATAGCTTGTTCTACTTGTAACTAATTGATGAGGATAGCAACTGGTGGGAGGTTGAGATGGCACAGGATTCAGTGAGCCTAGAGATTGAGGTACTGTACCCTGAGAAACAACACCAGTCACACCTGCAGCTGTAGTCACGGGAACTGCTGCTGCTGTTGAGGAGCTCAAAATCTGTGCAGCTACATTGGCTGTGGGTATGTTATTGACTTCTGATTCACTTCCAGAAACCTGAATGCTGGCTAACGGTTGCAGTGGAGGCGGAACAGCTCCATAAACCTTACAAGACGAGACTCTGCAGATCGACAGTCACACATATGAGGATTCAGGACTCAGCCCAACAAAAGAAAAAGAACCATAACAAAATAATAGCCCACATAAACCTCTTCTGAACGAAAGTTAACAGGTTGCAATCACATTTCATATACTCAGAGCAACATGCATACCTAGAAGCACCACACTCTGCACAAATAGTATCCAAAAGATTTTCTGCCAAAAGCTTCGCACGCTCAAGACTTGCACTGTTATTGCTTGATATGAGTAAATGCAGAGGTTGGTGAACATCTGCACATTAAAAGAGTACATTTATGAGGAATAACTAATCTTTTTTCATAGCTGAGAAATCTAGCCAGTGGCACACTATTGATAACCATTCTTATCATGCTATGGAGGATGGGAAAATAATTGCATCTTAATCAACACATAGGCACCTTCTCCCTGTCCTTCATCTGAATATCCCGAACCACGTCCTCTTAGCAAGACAGTTGCTCCAGTTTCATTCATAATGTGATTTATATACTGATCCTGCACTTACAAAAAGCCAACCACCAGCACAGAAGAAAATCTCTCCAAATGGACGGAGATGTCAGAGAGAGCTCAGAACATTAGAATCTCTTGGCTTTCTATCAATAAGAATAAAGTTTAAAGGAGCACATCAAGCATCATAATGCCAAAAGAGATTAATAAGATAATTAGCCAGGCAGGGTGGAGAATGGACTACACCCAAACTACTGGAAGAAACATAATTACTCAGATCAGAATCTGATCAATAAAGAGAATAAATGATGCCAATATCTGATCAATAACAGAGAAGTAACAGCTGAATGAACTTCCCTGGTATCTAAATTTGCCAGCAAATCACAACAAACAGGGAAAAGAAATTGATAAGGCAAATGGATAGTAAACCACAAAAAAAAAGGATCTTATTTTTATGTCGTTAAATATGCGAGAATTCATAAATCGAAAATTTTATCAGGAAATTAACCCTTGATAGGCAACATACCACAATAACTCAATAAACCAGGGGAAATGAGCAAAGTTAGATTAAGGGAGCTCACATTTGGTCCACGAATGCGCACAGTAATATTTGCTGATGGATCAGCCTCAAAGCCCAGGTACACACAGGTACTCAGCAGATGATTAACCTGATGATAAGAGAGTCAGAGGTTCCAGTAATTTTCTGGCTTCCTGTCCTGTCAAACCTCAGTACATACTACTTACCTTTAATCCATTGTTAACAGGACCTTGCTTAAGCATTTCCTCCACTACAGCAGCAGCACGATCAACTGCTCTGATCCTCTCAAGTGTTGTTTCTAGCTGAATCAACCACAGTACATGTAAATACACCATAGCAATCACTTCACCCAGAAAAGTAAAAGGTCAAAATAATAAAACTTGAAAGGTTACAGAGAGAAGTCCCACTTTAATGAATAACAATTTTTTCTTCATAGTGTGACCCAAGATAAGTACAATTTCCCTATGGGAAAGAGTTTTATAAAATACAACATAGCCTAAAACTTGATGAGACATTTCTCCACTCAACTTTTAAGATAGCATCCCCAGACCCCACTTTGTGGGATTTCACTGGGTAATGTTGTTGTTGTTGTTCCTAAGATAGCAAAAGGTTATTAGTGGATTTCTAACCTTAATACTTTTATGCTTTCAACTCTCGCTAACTTTGCCAAGTCAAACATGTACACTAAATTTTGGCTGGATAGATGAAAGGTGTAGACATTTTTAAAAAAAAAAGTAGAAAAGGTTCAGAAGATAGGAATATGATTTGGGTTTTGCGTTTTAAGAGAAAAGATATTTCCAGATTCTCCAGTCATCTGTAGTATACATTGGATAAAAACGGGAAAAAAAATTAGCAGTAAATGAACTCTTAACTAGAGAAGAGGAGCAGAAGAATATTGGTGGTAACCACTTCAATGGTTAGAAAAAACACAGAAACCAAACTCAGAGAAACAAGTTGACACTAAGGCAAATGTATTGATTAATTAAAACTGCACAGAAAAATGATTCATCTATGCAATTTAGTGATGGACAAAACTTATCAGCAATCTTCCTGAACCAAATGGTGCATCCAAACGCAAGTAACTAAAATTGCTTACATGTGCCCCAGCAGAAATATGAAGGTATAGGGGTTTTTCACCATCAGATGGTGCGCTTGGAGGCTTGTATTTACCCCTGCAATAGCCACGTTAAATAAGTATCACACTGTAAATAAAGGCTAAACAATAAGCAATATAATAAGACTTCATGGTGTGCTACCTAGTTATAACCACAGCACCCGTGCTCTTCTGAATCTGCAGAAACAGTGATAATTGATCAAGAAATAATGAGCATAACCTTAAGATAATCACATTTGCTTCTCGAGTCATCTTTAGTCTTACAAAACCCATTAACAATATTCACCTCTTCCTGTGTTTGGCGCTTTGTGAGCCTGTAGCGAACAGACGGATCAGCATCATTAATGACAATTTCCCTTGCTATCAACTCATCCTGAATTTTCGGCTGCAATAGCTCATTGGAAAATCAGAAGTGATCCAAATAAAAAATAGAACTGATTCTGAACAGCATTTCGTAGAAGGGTAATGGAAAAATGGCACAAAGAACATGCCTGATTCAGTATAATTTCCTAGGATGGGTAACACACATTTACTGTTAATTTGCAGTAAGACAACTGCAGGAAGTGACCAGAGAACTTTTTCTTTTGATGATGATATAAGGAGGCAGATAATTGGGCAATGCTTACTGACAACAAACACAATTTCTTCCACCCACAAAGAAAAGGAAGAAAAGCAAATATTGGAAGAATGTAAATCATGCATTTGGATAATAACTACTAGAGCTAGGTGACAACCCTCATGTAATAGGGGAATACTTCCAAACAAGAAAATAATAAGCAGTATCTTCTCTGATGATCTTACTTGAACTGATTTTTGGGCAATAATTACGGGAAGCTGCTGCACTGTAGTAGTACCAATAGCGGTAAGAGGATTCGTAAAAGCAGCACCCAAGACTGGAATTACGCCAGGTAGTGTGATACCAGCAAGAGAACCAGTATTTACCAATGGAAAAATCCCAGATACCGGTACCCCTTCTGGAACAAATGTCTCCGCAGGCTGATCCCACTTTCTCCGTTTCCTGGAAGATGTTGAAAAGTTATACCACAAGAAGAGCTTACTCTTCTTATTAGACTACAAAGCTGTCTCACATCATTTTTCTAATATTAATTAATCAATCAATCAAATTGTGTATGTTGTTGTTTCTTATTTTTCTTTCCTCTTCTGCAGCATAATGCAAACAATCCAGCTAATATTTATCATGTTAACCCAGATTCTCTAAATGCCTAAAAAACAGCTAACCTTCCCGGTGAAGATACTACTACTGCCATTACCTCAATACTGGTTCTTCCCACAGAGTAACAATTTCATCTCAACAAAGTACTAATTCAGTTGCCGAACTTTTTCAATTTAGCATCAGAGCAAAAAGGACACTGACAAACTCACGGAACCAATAATACATCAAAAGGATTAAAATCGTGGGAGACAGTCATGCGAAACCTCGAACTCAATAAACAATAATCCAACTCCAGCATCAGCCAAAAAGTTTGGACCAAAGTTAATTACTGAGTTAGGTCAAACCAGTATCTAATCATGGCAGCTTACTTAAAACTACGTGACTGTTCATCTCTACTTTTTGGAAAGAAATCAAAGTAGTATTCTACTAACATATTATACCAGCGGAGCTAATAGGGTTCAGGAAGGGGATTCTCAGCAAAAAAGTTGAGGGGACCAATCAATGTATGAATCAAGTAGGTTCAATCCCAAACTATAGAGACAATGAATCAAAATATTGTTCAGTAGATAACGAACAAAATTTAATCATACGTGATAAAGTATTTCAATTTTGACCTAAGCCAATGATATTAAGGGGAATTTAGATCTTCAATTGAAGTGGTTTGCGTACATAAAACTAAGATTAAAAACTGAAAATTTTATGCACCTTTGCTTCGTTGATGAAGAATTGGAGTCTACGGTTTCAGAAGATGAAACTCTAGGGCAATTATCCTCCGTCATTGATGAAGAAATTTCTAGTTCGTGCAACTGCAATGCTTCTTTGGATTCAACGGAGCGGAAGAAGGATTGAATTTTCAGGCAGACTGAGATTTCGGATTCGTCTAATTGTAAGAATTTGTGGTTTCCAGAATCCGTAATGGATTTGGATTTTGGTGCGAAGGTGAACGGGCAAATGCTGAGAATTCCTTGTGCAGGGAAGGCAAGACTTGTGACATGCACGTGCAGGAAATGGTTTGATTGATAATATGATTATTTAAACTAAATATATGAGAAATCAAAAGCTGGAATAGCTCAGTTGGTTAGAGCGTGTGGCTGTTAACCACAAGGTCGGAGGTTCAAGCCCTCCTTCTAGCGTAGTTATATTTTTTTTTAATTTTTTTTTGTTTCAAAGTGGGTTAGTTTCACGTAGGTTGTATCGGTTAGGTTTATTGGTTTTTGGTTTTAAATATGATAAACTATTAACCAAACTAATAAGATATTTTTTATCGGTTTTGGTCTTTAACGGTTCGATTTTTTGTTTACCCAATAAGAAAATGTTTATAAAATAAATATATGACTTCTTCAATAATTTGACACGATAAGACAATAATGTAACTTTACAAAATTCTCATAAAATAAAAATAATAAGAATTAATTCAAGAACTATACAAGTGCAACATAAAGAGAAATTAAGAGACTATGGTTCTTACTTTAGGTTTTGAAATTTTGTATAACGTGAAGTTGTGAACTCAAAGTCAGTGTAAAGTGTGAATTAAACGCTAATGAGCAAAGATAGTAACCAATAAGGTACTGAATTAATATTTAATATTTATGTATAGATAAAATAGTAAATCATTGTTATCATCGTTTTACCTAATAACCCAATATTAAAAACCAATATCAAACTGATAACCTGATAATTTCTTTTTCACAAAACCATTAAAAATCTGTTAATCCAATAACCCAACAAGAATAAACCAATAACATTTTTTTCGATTCAGTTTATTGATCGATTCAATTTTCACACACCCCTTTCATGTTCGTTACACTTTCGTATCTCAAAACTATCTTTTTACTAACGGTTGCTCTAAAATAATAATAAAAAAAATTGGTCAATTTTAACATTGAACTAATCTTACAACTAGATGCATTTGAAATCTAGCAAGTGATGTGAAATTTATGTGAATATATATGATTTGTTTTGCACAAGGCAAGTAAAGAACACATTCTTTGAGGCGTTAAAAATAATGTGTTTGAGGCTTTTATTCATCCTTCAAGGAAGGAATGAGTTGATTTCTCCAGTACTGGACTTGACAAAACTGAAAATTAATATCGCAAGCAATACATACATCAATCTCATTAATTTAATTTTTATTCTACAAACTAAATATTCTTTTTTTTGCATTATTAATTTTTGAAACTTGCTCATGGAAAATGGAAAACATGAACATCAATATATTTTGCAGCTATGGTTTGAGCATCAATAAGCCAAAAAAGTAAAATACAAGAAACTTTAAAGGGGCATTCCGAGAATTGAACTCGGGACCTCTCGCACCCTAAGCGAGAATCATACCACTAGACCAAATGCCCAATACATTCTCAGATGGCAACGTTTTAAATGTATAATTGTCCTCCAACTACACTATGAGTCTATGACAGAGAACTAGAGCAATTACTTATTCGGATAGTGTGTTTATACCAAACAAATGCAACTTACCACAGTTAAATGATTTAATGGAGTGGATATAAATATTATTATTTAATCATAATTAGATTATAGTTGTGTATGTTCAACAGTTCATGTATTCATTGATTTAATTAGGTTTAAACACACACAAATTTTTATTGTACTTGTGGTAATAGTAAACCTCTAGTAGTCTAGTTATTTGGTGAATATCTAAGATATATACTCTTTAAGCTTCGTTTATTTGCACTCAGTGAATTTCTTAATCTTAATCATTTAAATTATAATTACTGAGTATATTTATTTTCAAGTTTGAATCAAAGTGTTTTTTTTTTTCTTCTTTTACAAGACCATTTAATCGGTTTAAATATATTTGAATAATTAAAATCTAAAACAAATTTGATATCATTAATACATAATCACCCACTTTCATCACTAATCATCGTCACCGTTTATCATTATCAACTATCACCACCTACAATGCAATATTCTCAATCACAATTACCATCAGCCGTCAATTACCATAGTTAATATTTATCATCATTAGCCACTATTTACAATAATTGCTACCAACACTAATATCATACAACTATCTATCACTACATATAATCAATCATTATTATATAATATAAACTACTGTTATAAATTATCATCATTAGCTATCACTATCATACACCACAATTACTTGTTTGCTCCCGCATACTATCTCAATCATTGCTACCATAATCTACCACCACCCTAGTCAATACCCACAACATCGCAAATTAGTAATTACTATCACCAACTTTACTATGAGGATAAGTAGTAATTTGTAGTGTTTTTTTTACTAATAAAAGTGAGTATATCACTACGATACCACTTTCTTTAAATTAGTCACGAGGAGCCATGAAAGTTGGAAACTATAAAGCATATCTTTTATAGATTTGTGAAGTTCTCTTTTACTTCTCGTGATGTCCACACTAACATTGGTAAAAGCACATACCTCTTGGGTGTGTTTGGTACGAAGGAAAAATGTTTTTCAACTTTCTCATGTTTGGTTGGGTTAAATATTTTGGAAAATGTTTTCCAAATCAACTCATTTTTTTCAAATTTAAGGAAAATGACTTCCCTTCAAAACTTAAGGAAAACATTTTTCAAAACTCTCTTCCAACTTCAAATTACAATTAGTTTTTTGTTGAAAAAATCAATTTATTTTGTTCCTACCCTCAAACCAGCCCCTCCCCCACCCCAAAAAATAATAATTTTAAAGCTTGTTTTTTAATTCAATTTTTTTACCCCACCCTCATCCCTACCCCCATCCCCTACCACCACCCCCTCCCAAAAAAATATTAAAAGTTGTTTTTAAAAGATATTTCTAATTTCAGTTTTTTATTTTTTATCCCCCCACCCCCTACCCTCCCCCCCCCCTTCAAAAAGAAAAAAAAATCAAGTTTGTTTTTAAAAAATATTTTCAATTTCAAATTTTTATTTTTTCATCTCGATCCTCGATCCCCCCCACCCCAAATTGAGTTTGTTTTTAAAAAATATTTTCAACTTCAAAATTTTATTTTTTCACACCTACGCTCAACCCCCCCTCCCCCAAAAAACATTTTAAGTTTGTTTTTAAAAAATATTTTCAACTTCAAAAATTCATTTTTTCACCCCTACCTCGACCCCCCCCCACCCCCCAAAAAAAAATTAAGTTTGTTTTTAAAAAATATTTTCAACTTCAAAATTTCATTTTTTCACCCCTACCCTCGACCCCTCCCCCCCCTCCCCCCCAAAAAAAAATTAAGTTTGTTTTTAAAAAATATTTTCAATTTCAAAAAAAAAATTCTACTCTAGTAAAAATAAAAGATATTTCTCAAAAATATTTTTCATTCATAAATCAAACACTAAAAATCTTTTCCGAAAAATATTTTCTACTCACCAACCAAACATGAGAAAATAAGTCAAAAATCAACTTGTTTTCCAGAAAAATATTTTCCTTCATACCAACCACACCCTTAAAGTATTTTTTTTTTTTAAAAAAAGTATACTAAATACATAGATATATTTTATTTATTTTTATATGAGATAATAATTTTACTGTTTAAGTATAAATGATTGAAGTTAAAGTTGTATTTGTCGTTTGCAAAGAATATTTAGAATTTGATTTTTTTTTTTCTAAATATTATTTATACTCTCGATTTTTAAAAGTTAGTCTAATTGTTTAACTTGAAAATGACTAATCTGAAACATATAATCAATTTCTTCTAACTCTAAGACGTAACGTCATAGATTATAAGATCGCATATACAACCAACGATAAACTATTGCAAATATCTCCACTTTATTTAAAAATTTTGAAGTTGAAGATGAAATTGTGTTTGGTTATATCTTTTGCAAATAATATTTGGTTATTGAATATACTTTACCTAGAAAACATGAAATATAATTTAAATATTTTTATTTTTATAAAATTTGAAAAAATTATATATATTGTTTACATCCCTACTCTATTCAAATAGGGCGAAACATCGCGGTGACTGAAAAATAAACAATTGATTCAATTTTTTAAAAGAATTTTAAGAATAAACGAATTTTAAAGGAGTCGCCACCTAATTTTAAGAAAAAACTAGGAAACCATTAAGTGATCTACGAAACCAAGAGATTCTAGGTAAGGGGTTCAAGTTATTTTGAAGGGAAGGTGTTAGGCATCCTTCGAAATCCACAACTGTGGGTCCCGATTGAATTCATTTTTTTTCAAATTGAGGAGGAGGTAAAAATAATATACAAATATAACAAACATGCAATATACACAAGTAATAAAATAAACAAGTAATATGAGAAACGACTTAATATTTGCCTATCATCAACAATATACATAATAATGAATATAATATTCAAATGGCTTCGATGAGAAATGACTTTGGGGTACCTGTAAAGATACTTAGTAAAATTGTTAGTGGTAGATAAATAAAAATAAAAATAAATGAATTAAATAATAAATTCAAAATAAAAATATGTCTTATTAACATGGGAGGGCTTGGAAATCGACAAAAATTTCTTCATCGGCCTTTTTTAACAAATAAAATATATAAACTTAAATTAAATTTTTGTCTTATATAATGGGAAGGCCTCAAAAATTGACGGAGAGATTTTTTTCATTAACCAATTTTAACTAACATCTATTCGATATGAATTAAGAATACCACAAAAGGTATAAAAATGGCAAACTTTATCTAAGGAAAATTTCACATAAACACTAATCATAATGGAAATGAGAATGATATACAGATTGCCTTAAAATTTTAACATTATTATAAAAAGTAAAAATGGTGCAAAATAAATCAAATAATCTAATAGCATTAACATTGAAACTAAAAATAATATAAACAAACCATAACTATCATAATCAACTTAAAATATTCAAAATTATAGCCCAAGAAGCACAACTTTAATTGTAAAAGTGTAACAACAAAATAATAAATAAATATCAACACAATATGCATCACTGGAAGCAAATTAACTCACTGGA